ACTATGACCATGTTTTACACCATGGTACACAAAAGTACCTTCTATTGATGAAATTTTTTGTATTTCACTAACACAAGGTGCAGGCAATACTATCGATGACGTGTTAGTAAACGATTTTATGCATGATTTATGAAGATCACTGTTCATGTGTTTTTTTAAAGCTGTTTTCCCATCATAATGAACACTAAATGTTCTTAAACAAGTTTTACATCGAGCTTTTGTAGGATCATTTTTTATTTCTTGTAACCATGGTGAATATTCTTTTATATTTAACCAATCTTTTTTAAAAATACCTTTTTTTTCCTTTAATTTACGAGAAACTGGTGTTGTTGCTGTTTCAGTGGTAATTGTTAATGACATAGTTTCTTGTTCTTTTTCAATCATACTCATAGTTATAATTGAATCATCAGATTCATCATCCATAATCAATCTAATTCAATCTAAAGCGTAAGAATTAATAAGTAAAGCTGCATGTACGTTTAAAATTGAAAATCAGTTCATTTTAAAAAATATTATTTGTTCTAATGATTTTTTCGCCTTAACAAAAAATTCAGTCCGATTCAAACAAACTTTAGATCGAAGCAAGTATATATTGTACTTGATCAGACTATATATAGGGAATTATCCAATAACAATGCGAAGAGAAAGATGCCGCAGTACCAGCTACGTAGTAAAATCAATAGTAAAATGACAATAAAGTGAAATGCGGAAAAATATCACCATTCGGAAAAAATTCGGAAAAAATTTAAGATTCGGATGAATTCGGATAGTCAGAAAGCGATCGGAAAAAGCCCAAGAATTCGGAACTTTTCTGCCCAATTCGGATGATCTGGCATGCCTGATAGTGATCCTCTAATTATACTATATATCTTAGACTTTTATCCTTTTGTAATGTGTACATACACGATTTCAAAATTTAGTGATTATCACATACTATTACAAACTTGATTTTTATTTTTTCATTAAACCTTGTTTAGCATATTTTATTATGTGGTACACATTCATAACACTATCTACTAATATATTTCTGGATAAATTTTTATATTATGCTTTCTTTTTCTCCTATAATGACATATAAAGTTCACCAATTTCTATAGAGGCCATAGGAACGATGCTAACAAGTGAACTTGCTATGTTATTATAGAAAACACAGGAAAGCATAATATCAAAATTTATTCCGGAGTATAGTAGTATAGTATTATGATGCGTGCTATATAAGACATATGTTAAGCAAGATTTAATGTAGAAATGAAAATCAAGTTTATAATAATGTGTGAAAATTACTACGCTCGAAAACATAAATGCACATATGCAACAGGGTAAAAATATAAGATATACAGTATAATAGAAGGACAACTAGATTATTATAAATTAGGGGTGCACCAATTCCTAGAGCATGATATCGAAAGATGACACCTTTTTCTGTTAAAAGTGTAGCTGGCTTTCAATTATTTGCATTAATTAAGACCAGTTTTTTTCGTCCGACGTGAAACTATGATCAAAATTTCTGAAATAAAAATTAAAGGTTATATAATTGGTCTGGACTTGGTCGAAAAGTGGAATTTTTGAACTTTTTTTCACCCATTCCATAACCTTTATTTTGATTTCAGAAATTCGGATCACAGTGCCAGATAGAGCGGAAAAAACTGAATAGAACTGACATAAAAAAATCATCGGATACTCTACCGCTATGCAAAACTGGAGGTCTGGTACTTCATGCTGTACAAACCAATTCCTCCAATTTCTCAATAGCTTTAGCCTTGTGAATTGCGAGATTTCGGATAATTCTTTATGTCAGTTGTAGTCAGTTTCGAATGCTCTTTCTGAATCCAGCGAGAGATTTGATCCAAAAGAAAGCACAAGTCTCAAAATTAGTTGGTACTGGTGGGAATTGGTCAAAAAACGTTCAAAAATTTTACTTTTCGACCAATTCTAGACCAATTCCATAACCTTTAATTTTTATTTCAGAAATTTTGATCATAATTTCAGATAGAGTGAAAAAAAGTGGTCTTACCTGATGCAAACAGTTGAAAGCCAGCTACACTTTTAACAGAGAAAATTGTCCTCTTTTATTTCATGCTCAAGGAATTGGTGCATCTCTAATTTAAAACGGTAAATATACGAGCAATCTATTTCAGCTTATAGTATATAAAAGATAGGAAAATATATCATCATTAAATGAAAATGAATTCCAAAAAAATCAAAGATCAACTCAGATTAAAAAAAAATAAAAACAGAAAATACGAAAGAAACTACACCACAAATATTAAAAAAAAAGCATTAAAATGGTAAGAAAGTAGAAGGAAGTTGCTTGTTCACGTTCTGGAGGTGTCTATACTGATGACCTAAGTAGACCGATCAGTACTAGTTGAAAGAAAAAGTATCGCAGATAATATGATAATTTCATAGTAAAGCAGTTGCTAGGTGAATCAAGTTAAGCTAACGATAATAAAACATGTACTATTCACTTGTCTAAAGTAACTGTGTATTATAATATAATATGTACATATTTTTAGTCAATTACTCAAGAAAACAATGATATTTCATACCAATTAACTAAAGCAACAAACATAGACTTCCTGTAACTAGACAACTGAAATTCAGAAGTTTTGATAAACTTCTTAAAATCCATATATCTAGACTTCGAAAATTATCCATCAAGTTATATAAAATTCAACACTTTTCTTGAAATGGCGGTTTTAACATCTCGGTCATTTAACTTTAAATTATATAAGTAGAGGTAGAGGAAGCGCAACTTGATATTAATAACTTACTGACTGGGAAATTATTATTAACTACATAAATAATAATAGCTGTTAACTTTTTATTAAGATAAGCAGTTCAGTAATCAGTTAAAGTTGAACATACAATGAAGCACAACGTTCTCTTCTTATTCATAACTTCAATGCTTCTATGATTATGTATCCGGGCTCGAAACGGGCCAACCAAAAAAGTCCAACAAAATTCAATTTTTTTCTTCTATGAAATTCTATGCATGCCCTCAGACCTAGAAATAGTTTAAAAGTAATGTCATAGGCACTTCTATTGAACCATCATTAGAAGGTATAGTGAACCAACGACTGTTTAATATGGACAGTCTGCTGTTTTTTATTTAATGTTTGTTTGATTTCTCCTACATGAAAGTAATGATGACGCATTTACTTTTAATTACTTTTCCTTGAATGGGCTGATTTGCATAGTAGGTGATTGCCAATGATCTGATCTTTTGGTTGAGAAGTCGTAAATCTTGAATTCACCTATACATTTTCTGCAAGATCGTTTCTCGGCATAACTCATGAACGTAGTTATAGGACGTAAAATAGGTTTTTCTATATTTACTTTTAAAAGTAAATACTTTGTTCACATCCTATAACTATGTTCATGAGCAATATCAAAGGAATGGTGATGAGAGCAAAATTATAGCTGAATTTTAGATTTGAAGTTAGTCACAAAATGTCTGATCAGATGTAGCAGAAAATACGTTAAAAAGTAGTTAACATAAAAAGATATATATACATAAACGTGACACCCCTACGTGTAACTAATAAAAAAGAGTCGAATGTACTCTGTTCATCTGTCATATGTCGACAGCATTAATGAAGAATCATAATCTATTTTCAGATTAATTTTAAATTTTCTCATGTACTATACATATATTTTTCTACGTGTTGAACGTCTGATTTGCTATCATTATACATCTTAATTTCACTTTTTGCTATCATCTGAATGATTATATTTGGTTGAATTCATCAAAGGATCCAGGTATTCTGATTATGTGGGATTTGTGGTGGACCTAGTCCACACAAAAATTGAAAACATGCCTAATTTTCTGCGAGTACTTATAAATTATTTTGCCGGATCTTTGAAAATGTGAAGCTAAATTGTGTCAGAAAGATAGCTTTTTAGATACTATGCGCAATTATTTTGACAAAAAAATCGAATAAAACATTTTCTGTCATAAAATCCCTCAGAAATTGAAAAAATTGAATGTTCTTTCACAATTACCTGTCAGAAAGTGTCATGAGGTCATTTCTACTGACGTTTTCAGACTTTCTGCCAAACTTTCAGCCCGTGTTGCTTTCGATAACAATCGGGAATCATGAACAAATGAATTTTGCGCTCTATAAAGATTTCTTTGAACGTACGGCTTTGATCTTAAAGATCAATTTCGGCAAATTAATAGTTATAGAAAAAACAATTTTGCTCAGCCTCGGGCCGGGCCGGGCGGGCACGCAAAACTTTTGAGCCACTTTAGACCGGACCGGACCATAAAAAAATTGGCTCATTTTGAACCCTGACAGTTACCAAGAATTTAAACATATCTAGATGCGTCTAGCGGGAAAATTATCGACTGGCTTTGAAATAACTGAACGGTAGGAATCATGATATAGTTTCTACTTGTCTTCAATGGAATGTTGCCATAGTAACCTGCTCCGAGCCCTAGTTTTTGATGTATTCGCGTCGATTACATTTTTAAATATATTGCCGTGGAAGTCCTAAGAATGAACTGTTCTGATGCATGATAGCCACACAGTAAAGTTCGAAGAGTCGACTAAGTTACTCATCCATTATGAATTTAGGAGATGAAAAGATGTCCTTATTACTACATGTTTCTTTCAAATAACTACGAACACCCTTTGTTTGTAGATTATTTTATAAAAACATCTTTTAATCGATTGAAAAGTCATCATTTTCATTTGAAAGATTGAACAATTCAGCGTACAATGTCAACTGTGGGCATCATTCTACTTTTAATGAATACGTGGCTCTTTACATATGGCAATAAATGTATTACTCAGCCTGGCAAGTGTAGGTTCTCACGCTTACATGGCGACATCAATCGTGATCAAAAGAGTAGATTAAGTGCACTTGGTATGAGTCTTACAACACCAAAAGTCTTGCCGACAATAGATCCTGGTTCTCTTGTTCATATTACAATGAGTTCCGAAGTTAGCGTTAATTTAGATGAATTTGCCACGGATAAAATCACCTTGGATTCGATTATTGCCGAATTATTACAGCCGAATCCACAATTTTGGATTGATCGGGCTAAGAAACAGGTAAATCTGGCAACGTATCGACTCACTTTTCGTCCGTTATTCGTCAATGATAAATATCAGCTCCCACTTACGCAACCATCTCATTGGCATATCGTATTACATGAAAATCCAAAGTACCATCATGCCATTGGTGGTCATAGATTAGTTTCCGTGAGGTATACATGGTCAACACATATTTTGAGTGACTACGAATCACCGGGTATTAGTGAGCCTCAACTAGGCAATATTGGTGGCCAATGGGTCGAACCCTTCATACTACCCGCTGATCCGTACAATATTATTCAACGAACTGGCTATGCTTGTATGGATGAATGTAAGATCTTAATAATCATGCTCATTCTTGCAGACTCTTTGAGAGAACAT